CAGAACCGAATGAAACATGTGAACAAATGGACTTCATAGAGGTCTTCTGAGTGTTCCACCTCATACATTTTTCTCAGCTGCACATGGAATGTTCTTCAAAATAGACCACATATTACCTCATAGAATATGCTTAAGAAAATGAAATTATTCTATGTATATTATCAAACCATAGTGCAATCAAGTTAGAAATCAATGGCAAAAAATATCACAAGAACTTCGTAAACCCATGGGAATTAAATAACATCCTCCTGAACAACTGGTGGGTCACAGATTAAATCAAAGAAGAAACCAGACAGTTTCTACAATTAACAATAATGTCGATATGACATACTGGAACTTATGGGATGTAATGAAAGCAGTCCTAGGTAAATTTACAGTGCTGAATTCCCATATCAGAAAAATAGACTGAGCTCAAATTAAAAAAATCTAGTGTTGAACCTCAAGCTTTTAGAACTAAAACAGTTAAGTCAAGTCCAAAGCTCAGGAAATTATGCAGAAATTAATGTAATGGAGACTAAGAAAACAATACAAAGAATTCATAAATCAAAAGTTGGTTCTTTAAAAGAGTAAATAAAATTGAAAAACTTTTAGCCAATCTTATCAAAAACAAGAAACAAAAGACTCAAACTAATGCAATTAAGAATGAAAAGGGTGAAATCACAATAGATCCTACAGAAATCCAGAAGATCATCAATACCTACTTTGAAAACTGTATATTAATAAGACGGAAAACAGAAGCAATGGACAGATTCCTAGATACATATGAATTACCAAAGCATCAAAGCATCGAATCAAAAACATAGAAAAATTCAATAACCCAGAATCAGGCAATAACACTGAAGATGTAATTAAAAACCTACCAATGAAGAAAAGTCCAGGCCCTGACAGATTCACTGCTAAATTCTACAAGAAATTTAGAGAAGATCTAATTCCACTACTTCACAAATTTTTTAATAAAATTGAAAGAGAAGCAATACTCCGAATTCATTCCTGTAATCAAACATTACTCCAATACAAAACCAGAGGAGGAGCTAACCACAGAAAGACCACAGGCTAACCTTGCTAATGAATACAGACACAAAAGTCTCAGTAAGATACGGGCAAGCAGAATGCAGCAAATCATCAAGAAGACTACACACCATGACCATGTAGGAGAGTTCATGCCAGGAATACAAGGATGGCTCACCATATGCAAATGGATAAACATAATACACCATGTCAACAGAACCAAGGAGAAAAACCACATGATCCCCTCAACAGATGCACAAAAACCTCTGACAAAATCCAACACCTATTTATGATTTTAAAAACCTACAGAAATTGGAATAGACTGTCTTTTCCTCAATCTGATAAAAGCCATCTATGACAAACCAACAGCCAGTATCATACTAAATGGACAAAAACTGAAAGCTTTCATCCTAAAACCAGGAACAAGATGAATATGTCTACATCACCAGTCCTAGTCAATATAGCTCTGGAAACATCAGCCAAAGCAATCTTTGTTTCTCAAAGGTCTAATGTCTAACATATATGGAGAACCTCTCCAAAAAAATCAGACCCTCAAATTTAAAAGACTCAATCCAAAACTGGGCATTAGAAGTAAGACACTTCTCAGATGAAGCAGAAATGGCAAATATATGAAAACATGTTCAACATCCAGTCATGCCAGAGATGCAAATTAAAACAACAATGAGATTCCATTTCACTCCAGACAGCATGGCTATTATCAAATCAACTAGTAACAAATGCTGGTGGGGATGTAGGGAAATAGGAACCCTTCTCCACTGTTGGTGGGGGTGCAGACTGGTGCAACCACTGTGGAAATCAGTGAGGGGAGATTCCTCAAAAAACTAGAAATAGTGGTTCTATTCGACCCACTTTTTCCCCTAAGTAGCAGCTCCCTGAAAGAATTAAAATCACTGTCCATAGCGATGCATTCACACCCATGTTTACAGTGGCACAGTTTGCAATAGCTAAACCTTGGAAGCAGCCCAAATGCCCATCAACAGAAACAAATAAAGCTGACGTGGCTTTCTGATACAATGGAATATCACTCTGCCATAAAGAAGGATAAGCTTAAGATCTTTTTAGCTAAATGGATGTACCTTGAAATGATCCTCTTCAGTAAAATAAATTGAACATACTATACAATACTGGTGTGAAAAGCTGAAAGTATGGGAAGAAAATGTTCAAATGACAGAGGGAACAAGGGAGAAGGGATGAAGAAAGGAAGGAAGGGATAAGAAAAAACTGAGAAAGAAGGGAAAAATGGAAACACAGCTTTTGTGAATAAGAAAAAGGGAGACAAAAAGGGAGGGGAGGGGACTAGGAAAAACAGAAGCAGCAAGATACAGCACGTACATTCCCTATAATGAATGCGATCATTATGTACACCTAGAAAATTTTTAAAACAGGAAAAAACATACTACCCTGTACACAATAAATACACACACAACTTCACATTTCATTTTAAAAGATAAATACATTTAGAATAATTTAAACACAAAGGATGTTTGGCCTTTTATGAAAGCTACTAAGTTCTTATCTATGCAGAATCCAAAAATCGGTTTTCCTCTAATCCTAGCTGCTGGAGATATAAACTTATCCTCTCCTTCAACTAATAGGAGCTCTTTCGATTTTGAAAGATAGATGCTTTACCATCTTTTCTAGGATCTGTTCCCTCATGTCTAACTCCCAAGGTACAGTGTCCGTAGCTGTACCTACCACCATACACCAGGTCCCAGTTGAGCGCGGGAGACACTGAGGTGAAAACACCAAGGCCTGGCAGTCAGGTAACTCATCCAAGTTCCATACAGCTCCCGAGGACCTGTCCTCCCATCATGCCAGGATCTCCCATAGGGGAGCACGGAAGACGGGGTGTCTCTTTGCTAACACTGCCTCTGGATCTGTGCAGTCTAAAGCCTAACATGAAAGGTATTTCCATCTAGGAACAAATGGCAATTGATGGCCCCTTCCCTCAAGTTACTCAAGTACTTCAGAGCTCTTCCTGTTCCTCAGACTGCACCGTACATTTATAGCTTCACCTCATTGGTACGCCACAAATAAGACTGCCTTGACCAAAACAACACAACTGGACCTCTTGAGAAACAAAATAGGCCTCAGGGAGGCATTTTCAGTGAGTTACAATATAATAATTATCATCACTTATTAAGTATTTGCTATGGGAATTGTAAGGTAAGCTTCATGCATTTTCTCTTGTAAACGTCCCAGCTCTACGAGGAACAACATTGATCCCAATGACACATAGGAGGAAACTGAGCTCTCATGTCAATAATGAGTTCCCTGACTCCAAATCCAGGATCTCAGCCCAAGAGTTTCTAAAGTCAACTTTTAATCTTAATAGTGTTGACTACAAGCAATAGAAAGCCTGGCTTGCAAGATACAGACCACTCCATACACTTGCTACTACAAACTAAAATAAAACTCGGAGTCAAAACTTCAATTGTACCACTCTATATTTCTTTTCAATATTTTTATTTCTTTCCAGCAGAGGTTCCGAATGTTTTCCTACCTCTGTCTCTCCTGATGGCAAGCACTTAACAATAACATGCTGAATGAACACAAATTTACTTTCAAAAGACTTCTGCCAGGAAAAGAGTAGAAAAATCTCAAAATACAGGGTAATAACACAAAAGAACAAGATAAATTTAATTCATAGTGCAGTAATGATGAATGTGTCATCTTTCGATTCAACTTAACAGGCACAGGATACAACTTATGTATAAGGTGCTACTCCCATCCTAATACTAGTGGAACTGATTATGTGCTTATTAGCACAAAAACAAATCTAAGTGTGAACCCTGGAGACTAAACTATGGAAAAACGAGCTGATGTAAAGTAAAATCCCTGCCACCTCATACTCTGTACTTCCCCGCTGGTGGAGGAACCCTCACCTCCTGCTTCCCAGCCTCTACTCCTGGGCCTTCCCCACAGAAAACACTTGCCTTCCCAAAGAGAACTTCTTGGAAACAGTGAGTTTGTGTCTTCTTTTACATTCCCAAAGGACCTAAGACAAGACCCTGAGTCCAGCAGGGCACAGCTAACATGTAAAGTGCTTGACAAGAATGCAATTTTTAGCGCCAGCTAAAAGTAGGGCGCGCTTGACCACACGCGATGTTAGAAGCAACAACCTTACTCACCTCCGGGGAACCTCTGCAATCGCTTGGTTTTTAAAAGCAACAACAAGAAGTTGCTAGAGGGACTCTGTATTGCTGTTGTCAACAAGGCGCCACTGCAGGCCCGTGGCAATAATACGCAAGACCCGGAGATCTCCCAAGATCGCTTGCTCAAGTCCCTAAACAGCCAGGTCCCTAACCGGACCCTAAAGGTGCTCCCACACAGCGCCTCGAAGTTTCGAGCTCTGTTAAAAGCACGCATTTCTAAACACACGCGAACCATAAGAATCGTTTACCCCAAAGCACAGCAAGTCTTCCACCGCCCGCACTCCCAACAATTCTACTTCGCAAGACGTCCAGAAGTTGCACCGAGACAGACAAAACGTGCGCCCAAAGATCCAGATCACGAACTCTCGGGCTCCGGGCCGGAGCTAGCAACCCATCGCCCACAGCAGCTCGGGGTTGGGATCGTGCCCTTCCTCGAGACTCGCGGGGCTGCCGCGGCCACGCCGGGAGGGAGCGGCGTTAAATTTAAATTTCCTGGCTCCGGCCACAATGTTAACCTAATTACAGCATGCGGTCCACGCCGAGCCTCTCCGCGCGGGGTTTCGCATCGGCCGGGCGCAGACAGCGCGCGGACCCCCACCCTGTCCGGAGCGAAGCCCTCTCGGCGGCGGGGACCGGAGGGCGACCTGCGCGCGACGCCCCGGAGCGCGGGCGCGACCCCCATCCCGGCGCCGGCGGGCGGGGGTCCCGGTCGCGCGTGTGGGCGCCGGCGGGCGGGGGCCGCGCGGGTCCGGCCGAGGGCGGCGGCGGCGGGGGAGGGGCGCGAGCGGCCGTCGGGGCGGCGGGGGAGGGGACTACCTCGTACAGCTCCTCGGAGGCCATGGCGGCGGCGGGCGCGCGCGGGCCCGCACTTTGTTTCAGTTGGTCCTGCGTGGCCTGCGCTTCCTGCTCGCGCCGCCGGGCGCGGTGCACCCAGGCGCCTCTCGCGCTCCGCGGCGACTCGGCCGGCGCGGCGGGGTTGTGCGCAGGAGCAGCTGCGCCACGCGCCCCGGGCGCCCGCGCTCAGTGCCCGGCGGGCCGGCTGGGGCTCGGGCGCCGGCTCATCGCGCCCCGCCGCGGGGGCCGGGCGGGCTGGGGCGGGATCCGCGGCTCCCTCTCCGGCCGAGTGTAGAAAGCTTCCTACTTGCGACCGAAAAACCTGCCCCGGCGACTGAGCATGCCCAGTGCGGCCGCCCGGCCCGGCCGAGCCGCGCTCCCGCCCGCGCTCCGGGTTTTCGGGCCGCCCTCGCGGGAGGGGTGGGGCGGGGTGGGGCGGGACCGGGCGGGGCGGGGCGGGGCGGGGAGCCGTGGGCTGTGCTCCGGGCCTGGGCGCGCGGGCGGCGGGGAGCGAGCCGGCAGGAAGGGGCGGGGCCGCGAGATGGGCGGGGCGTCGGCGGGGCGGGGCCGGCACGGGGGCGGAGCCCGGCTCGCTCAAGTCCCGCCGCCCGCCGGGGTCGGCTCAGTCGCGGCGCCGCCCACTGGGCTGCCGGTACCCGGGCGCCCGCGTCCGGGAGGGCCGGCCCTCGACCTCGAGGGTCCTGTGGGCGGGGGCGGTGCCCGAGGGCGCAGGCCGGAGTCGGGCTGGGGACCCAGCGGACAGGTCGGCCGGCGCCTGGACCTCAGCCCCGACGGCCGCGAGCGCCCCCAACTGGGCCGGCAGAATCCCCCAGGTGGCGCCCCTGCCCCACGCGCCGCCTCTCTGTGGCCGCCGCCAAGACCCGGAGCCCGGGCCGCAGCTCCCGCGCCGGCCGAGCTCCTGCGGGACGGCCGCTTCCTCCGGAGCCCGGGACGCGCGGGGTCCAGGCTGTCGGCGCGGGTCTCCTTCACTTCGCGCGCAGGACGGCGCGGGGGTGCCCTGCCGGGGACAGGACGTCCCCATGCTAGGCAGGGCGAGCCGGGCCTCCGGGCCCCGCGGAGACCGCAGCTTCCCGCCCGGGCTCTCGTAGCCCCCACACCTCCCCTCCGGGCACCCCATTCCTGGGTCCCCGACCCGCCAGCGCCTCCCTCAGTTTTCCTCCAGAGCCCGGCCGGCCTGCGCCCGGGCCCAGAGCTTCCCGCACTCCCCACGCCGCGAACCCGCGCAGCCCCACGCCCAGCCCCGAGTCGCATCCTCGGCCCCGTCCTTTCCGCGGGACCTCGGCCTGCGACTCCCACCACCTGCGGAGCCCTTCCGAGCCTGAGATTTCCAATCCCGACGTCACCTCCAAGACTGCCCCGCATGCGCTCGGCCGCCCGGGTCTCCACAGGACTGCGACCCTGTGCGGCCCAGGCGCCGGTCTCGAACGCGCAGTGCCCTGTTACCCGGCGAGTCCACGTCTCAAGCTCCGCTGGAAGCTCGTTACCCACAGACCCGGTTCCCGTGATCGGATTCCTTGACAAGAACTTAGCATACCCAGCCTGCAGCTCAGACTGTCCCTACCAGCGACGCGGGTGCTGCCGAACCTCCTGCAGAGCGCGCCTCTGTGCTCCTGACCATCTAGATCCATGATGTGCTACCCTTGCTGTTCCCACCCGGCTGCCAACGCATCCACGTAAAATTGTAAGCTCCTTGAAGGCAAAGCCGAAGGCTTTTGTTGACTGCCAAGTCGCAGAGCCCTTAGCGCCCTCGAGCACGAAGAGCTCCAATACTTGAAGGTCATGTATTTTTAAAAGTCACGCAAGGAATAAAAAACTAAGAAAAAAGGGGATCTTCGAAATGCAGTGAACAAATAACATTTCACATACAAATCTGGACACAATGATAGACTCAGTATAAACCCGGTTTCTTTTGCCTACTGCCATCAGCTTAAAGATTGCCGCTTCCAAAAACAGGGCGTAAGCACTCACAAGATGGATCCCCCACCCCGTGCTTAGGGGTGCTGTAATGTATTTCACTCTAAAAAGCCTCCAGTGTATCACTGTTGCCCGTGAGAGAAGACTGGAGCCCTGAACGGCACCCGCGAAGCCCATACTCAGACACAGAAAAGGAGGTGAGGAGCCCGGAAATTTTTTTTTTTTTTGAAGTCAATTTAATGCCAGGCGTGGTGGCCCACGCTTATAACATCAGCATTCTGGGAGGCAGAAGCAGAGGCATCAAAAATTCGGAATCCAGCATGGGCGACTTGGCAACTTCCTGAGCTTCTGTCCCCAAAAGAAAAGGGCTGGGGATGTAGCTCAGGGTGAAGGCCCTGGTTCTACCCGCAGGCAGTACCACAAAAAAAGAAAGAAAATAGAGGACGGTTTACATGAAACCTTTCACCTGGATGGTCTGTGCAGCAGTGGTTACTGGTCCACGTTCAAGGTGTAACCCTACCAGACCGCGCCAACACCGGGGCAGGAAGCTCCCCTCGACTGAGCGCCAGCGACCACAGAAGACGGCAGCTCTAACTAGCGCTGAATTCCTGGTCACCTTCGTAATTGTCCACTCCTTCCCCTCAGCTGCCCTCCACCACACACCCACTAGTTTAGTGAACGCTAGTTTGCTTAAATATATTTTATACCTCATTAGTTCAGTTTCTCTCACTTTCAAGCAAATTCTGCTTTCTCCCCTCACTTTTTAATGGAAACATTTGAGGAGAAGTAAAGATGCTGGAGGTCATGGGGGCTTTGAAATGATACCGCCTTTTATGAAACGGTGAAGTTTCGCTGCGGTTACCATGACCACGTGTGTGGGTGCTGTGTGAAAGCACTTTCACAATGGATTGAGAATCACATCCCCTAAAGCCAGCAAGAAGACTGGACCAGCAATACATCCTCTACAGAAGTGTGTACTAGAAAAAGACATAAACCTTAAAAGATTGTAGAAATGGTCCACAAGAGACAGAGACACGCACCATGACAACGCACAACTACTGGCAATAAATTTCAGTTCTTACCTGACCTGAGCTAGTGATGGAGACCCATGTAATCCATTTTACTCCATTTCCAGGTATTCCCGAATAACAGATAATCAGCCACCAGTGCTGCCCGAGTTAGCATGCTTCCCATGCGGAATCACAGCCATTTTCTACTTCTGTAGAGCAAAGCCTACAATCTGAAACTTGAGGTCTTTCCCTTTCCGGCTCCGTAGCCAAAGAAGTCCCTCTTCCTTTCTCTCAATAATCTGCATTTCATCTCCATTTGAATCCCGAGGCGCCCAAGAGGAGTTGGGGGATGGGACCTTTTTAAAGACAAAAGGAGCCAAAATCTAGCAACCAGGACTCTCCAAGCCAAAGGCGTTTTAAGGTTGGCCACTGTGAAAAGATGCCAAGCCCGAGTCCCTTCAGCACTTCAAGTGCCCTAAGTGTCTTGGCTACTTGCTGCAAAACTCAAAATTTAATTGTGGCTTTGATGAAGAAAGGACCGCTGTTTGTTTAAGCACACTGAGGCTAAAAGGAAATTAAATACTGTTCTTCTTGCGGGATAGCAACTCCTTAAATCTTGGTGGACTTCCCAAGCCAGTCTTTTACGCAAAAGATAGTAAGAAGGTGTCCAACCTAAGCTGCAAGAGAGACGCAGAACCAGTCATAAGATGAATTCAAATGCTAGGGCCTTCTTTGAACTTGAAGCCAGCGCGTTGAGTTCTTTCTTCCCTAAGAGCTTAAATTAGATACCAGTGCTCCTTTCTGGCCAACCAGCAAGGTCTGATGCCTGGTTTCAGCCGCTATTTCCTTCCCACGTTAGAGTCAGTTTCCCCATTTCAGCTGGCAGCCTCTCCTGCCTTTCTCCATGCTGGTCCTGGGTATCATTTCTCTCTTTCGTGTTGAAGCCAGTAGCCCAGCTGTGACACTGCTGCTTCCTGGCTGAGTATTTCACTTAGCCTAGTGATGGTGAGTCCAAGACCTCATAACATATGAGTCCATCAGTTTCTTCTTAGGCAATGGTATTCCTGCTGCTCAAAGTTGGGAAATTTACAGCTGAGTAATTTTTTGCTTCAACTCATATAGTATTTTCTTTCTGTCCGTCTGTCTATCTACCTACCTACCAATCTGCCTACCTACCGGTGTGTGGCAATTTAGGTCAAGTGGGCTACATATTCACTACGTAGACCATGCTGGCCTTGAACTATAGAACCTCCTGCCTTAGCTTCCTGAATGCTGGGATTACAGGTGTGCCCTCCAGCCCAGCTAGATCTAACTGCAGTTCCTTTTTTTAGCCGATGGTGATTCTACCCAAAGGATCTCTGTGATACATATTTTTGTAGCTTCTTTGAACTGGAATAATTGATCATGAGCAAGGAAGCTTTCTTATTGATAACTCTGTATGTTAACCTGCCTTATGGAAAGAGAAGGAACCTAAAGCCATAAAAAGCAGAGAGCCACAAGACATGCCCACGACTTTTTGATCAACTTTATGCCAAGGAAGTAATGAGTTCATTACGGATTCTCATAAAACCAGCAAATGTAACTTTCCTCTGAATTATTGTGATGATTAATTATGTTTATCAATCAAGTGAAACTATTATACTAAACTCTTCACCCTCTAGTGAAGAAGAGAGGAAAGGAGAGTGGGAGGGGAGGGAAAGACAGAGGGAAAGGGAGAGAGAGAGAAAGTACCCACCACTGGGAAGACGAATGTCGACAGTTTCGCTGCTAGAGAATATATCAACACCAGGCCCCCATAAGCAGGGAAGCACCGAATGAGCCAAGGACCCAGGTAGGTGGGTGTCAAATCTAAAGTGAAAGTCAATGAGTTTGGAAAGTCAAGCTGGGACCAGACAGGCACATGGAAGCGTGGAGTGAGGCTCACTTGTTTCAGGCCCTACTCTGGCTAGTGTGGAGCTTCTCAAATTGTGGTCTGCAGCCCAGCAGCAAGAGCACCACCTTAGAAGTTCGGGGAGTGCAAATTCTCACCTGTTCATCCATTGGAGTCCAGCAAGCTATTCGATAGGTCCTCTGGGGGATCCTAATGCATGCTTATGGTTACTTTTCTCTAGTTGCTGGAACAAAATACTCAACACCCAAAATAAAGGAGGGGAAAGCTTATTTAGTTCATTGTTTGTGGAGGTTTCAGTCCATAATCAGCTGGCTCAGAGGCAGGGTGGCATGGCACAGGGGCAACACTTCAAGACAGCAGCCAGCAAAACCAGCCAGAACAAAATGGGGAAGAGCAAGCCTCTTGTCCTCCTTTATAGTGTACACAGGCCACCCCTTCTCCAGGGAAGTGTAGCACTCACAAAATCTCTTTGTCCTCATCTTGCGTAGGATAAGGGTAAAGATCCTGCCTAGCTGCTGAGTCTCTTAGTTA